TTTTGAAAAGGCACAAAAAACTTGCATTGGCAAAGAAAACACACAGCGCTCATTTCGAGTTGCTGCATGCTTTCTTTGCTGATGCGAGTTTTTTGTGCCTTTTCAAAACATGCCGCGTCTGCCGTTGTTTCAGAAAAGAAACATTGTCAAATCTGACAGTAAGCTGTAAAAGAGTACCAAGTACTCTTTTTTTTTTTTTTTTTTTTGGCGGACACACAGCTCCTGCACACTACGACGGGAGAATACCTGAGTGGCAGAATACCAAGTAAACAACAGGAAAATAGTAGAGAAGATAGGCATTGTACTGACTAAACCTCCATAATATTTAACAAGTCGAAATTCCGCTAACGCGCCTCGATCGACACCAGAGAAAGAGGTAGGCTAGCCAAGCTATACATATGTTGAATAGGAAGAGGATTCTCTAATAAGCCCCACTTAATTGGAGACTTAGGATTTATGTAATACCTGAGTGGCAGAATACCTGAGCATCTAGCTGCATGCACAGCTCAATCGAATGGGGTACTATTCTTTGGCCTTAAAGTTTTACTAAAGAATACTTATGGCAGCCTACGTCAATTTTTGACAGCTCTTCGTTCTTGCGAGGATTTGAGCCCTCAGCAGTGCTGGAAAAGGCCTCCCCCCCCCCAAAGTGAAGGTGGTCCTGCAAATAGTGCACCAGGACCGAGGTACAGGCCAGTGTGATCAAGCTAAATGGGCGTTGGAATCCATATGCAGGCCTGAATCTTCGCAGTGGCCCTTATAAGGCTCAACTGCACATCTCGACTGAGGCCCCGTACAGACTTGTGCCCGCCCTAAGTGAAGGCGGGCCAGAATATTTATTTACGAGAGGCCTATTTTTTTTTGTAAATTCTGAATGTGAAGTATCACAGACAGTTGCAGCGCGGCAGTTGGTTACAGGGTAAGGTGAGCCTTTCCCTGGCTTGTTCCAGAAGCACAGCTGCTGCGTGCGACAGTTGAGCCCAGGGCTCATCCGGTTGTGGCCCTGGGCACACGCAACCAGAGCCCGACAAGTCTCTCAGAGGCCATGGCCCAATGAGAATGCAGTATCGACGTCACACACCTGCCACGAGCCAATGAGATTGCATTGAACATTTGTAGCCTCATGGACTGCCTGGGCGTGTCCAACTGTAAAAGGCCGAGGCCCGTAACCACAACTGGGGCCACCTCGCAGACACTGAGGCTCTTGTGGAAGCGGCTGTAGTTTTCTGGTTGCGTCGTCAACAGTATACTAGGCCTATACAACAGTTGTGTGATATTTGCCAATATGGGAGTTGTGTGATCGTGGCATGGGCGCTCAGGCATTTACCACAGTTGTGTCGTCAGCAGTATACGCCTATACCACAGTTGGGCAGCTTAATTGCTGCCGGCCCAGGCAACTGTCTGAATTGGGCCTGGACGAAGACACTTTGGCCCAACCTGAAGCTACAGGGCACGTGCACACCAGGCGCAAGCAGCCAGAAGCAAGGCTGCACTTTCCATATAGGAAAGTGCGCTGTCCAGCTAGGGCATTGGAGCCGTCTGTTTGGTGGCGGCAGCGCTGCTGGTTTGAGCGCTGGAGGCCGCTGGTAGGCCAAGGGCTGGAAGAGGTGCACACGAGCGCATTGTGGTCTTGGGCGCTGTTGGTGCAGCGGGCGCTGAGCAGCCATGGCCGGGCTTGCTCAGCAGAGGCTGGCGATGGTGATGGTGGTCTTCGGGTATCGGGGATGCACACTGAGGGAAGTTAAGGGGCGATGGGAGAGGAGAGAGAGACACGTACCTCAGGCTGGTGTATGCTGGCAGTCTGCATTGGCGACATCGTACATGGGTTTCCAGCTCGAACTGCCTCCTGTTGCATGACCGTGGTGTAGGCTAGAGTAGTAGTTGCTGAGTAGAATAGCCTGGGTGCTGAGCGCCAATAGAGAAGAGCGACATTGGATACTATGTTGGTGTGGTGAGAGAGTGTCGACATTGACATTTGAGTTCGTTGTACTATTGCTCTTATTTGGCTTGTATCTCGGTGCATCGTGCTTCCTGCTTGGTATAGGACTATACGGTCTACAGCGTGATATATTGCAATTTGGATTAAATTTTCTGTCTATCGCTCTCCCTCATGTTCCTTGCATTCTGTCGAGGAGCCAAAAAAAAAAAAAACAGCCGGAGTAGCACATTGGTCAGCAACACAGTGCTGAGACAGAAGGGGATTGTCAGGAGAGTGTAAGAAAGCTGGATGAAAGGGACTCTTGGCAGTAGCCCGGTCCCCAGCAGGGTATGCTTCCCACAGATAGATAGAAGCTGTTTAATGCAAGGGGATGCTCGTGCCAGCCGCAATGGAGGCCCTGATTAACATTCTAGAAAAGGGGCCTTAATTATAAGGGGGCCCCAATGCAGGCCTCCCAGATAACTGCATGGTAGGCCTGTGTTGCCTGACTGGATGTACTCGATTGAACCTCAATCCACAACGAACTCGCACATTCCCATAAACGCATGCAGGCTCGCTGGAGGCAAATCCACACAAAACCGAAGAGAGATATGCACAGCGGAAGCTCAACAAACACGAGAATTGAAAAATGAATTTCAAATCTTTATTGTCCCCGTCTTCCTCCAATCAATCCAGAGTACTTTATTCCAAGAATCACAACCGCGTTGCCTACAACCGCATTCAACCAGAAACAAAAGTTCAACGAAGTATGCATGCAGGTGAGTCTTCTTCTTCCTCCTCGCCACCTCATACCCCTCCCTGGCTATGGCTGCCGTAGCAGCTGTAACCCCACAGCTGTCACAACATGCCAATCTGAACCAGCAACCCTAATGATAACAGCGCCAGCTCAGCACCCGCACGGAAGTGCAGCGCTGGCTGGAAGTCCTGATGAAGAAGGAGACAACCGATCCAGCCCTTCGAAGAAGAYGRAGTTCCTCATGAGGAGGAACMGCAGATATGGCTGCCAAGTGGAAAAAGGCAGYGCCCAAACCCAACAACACAGTMCTGTGGAAGCTCTCATGCAGAGCTGCGAAATAGCTGCAGTGCGATCTTCAACTTCATTTCCCAACCCCCAGCTATGGCTGGGCTTCGAGGAAGAAGATGWCCTCGCCCAAAATAGAGCAGCAGCGCTCCRACAACGGACGCCGGGCAGAGTTTCCCCAGCCAACGAAAACGTGAAAAGACCCCAACCAAATTTCCTGCCTGCTACTTCTACCCTCTGCCTACACCTACCATGGACTCCCAAAAGCAACAACCCAAGACTCATCTGTATCTMGATGGAAACAGGGGGAAARGGGGACCTAGAACYASGACAAGGCAAACGGAAAAGGCCGACTGGCCTAAGGCTACCAAACAGAGACTACTGGTGACAGACTCAGGGATCAAGTCCCATAGGACTCAAAACTAACAAACAAAACGCATACAAATTACAGGTCACGGGATCAAGTCCCGCAAGGCTCAAAACAAGAAAACAAACTACAAAGCCAAACACTTAGCGTACAGCCCAACTGGGAAACTGCGATATATTGCACTTGGGCCGGGATCCAGACCGATCGGCAGTGCGTACTGGTACACCTAAGGCTACCAAACAGAAACTACTAGTACAGACTCAGGGATCGAGTCTCATAGCACACAGCTTTTACAAACAAAGCACATACAAATTACAGGTCACGGGATCAAGTCCCACAAGGCTCAAAACAAGAAAACAAACTACAAAGCCAAACACTTAGTGTACAGCCCAACAAACTACAAAGCCAAACACTTAGTGGACAGCCCAACTGGGAAACTGCGATTTATTGCACTCGGGCGGGGATCCAGACCGATCGGCAGTGCGTACTGGCACAGACCCCGGCCTCCCGAAGAGACAAAAGGAAGAAGGACGAGGGAGGAAGACCCGTAGGGCTGTAGGCAGTATCAGGCGGCAGCTCTCATGTGGCTAGGGAGCAGTGTTGTGTTGGCTGCTAGCATGTGCACTACCCATAGCTGGAAGCAGCACAGTGCAGGAGAGCTTGTTGAGGAGGAGCTCAGGGAGAAGATTGGGAGAGGAAGAACACTGTGGAGTCAGGGGGATTCTTAGTACCTGGAGTCTGGCGGAAAAGCACAGAGGACGTCATCGGCCTCTTCAGCGGGTTATGGCGAGAGGAGAGATTTAATGGGCTAGACTTGATTGTGTGGGCGGTCACTTCATAACTTCGGGGTAATTTTATGTTGTTGGGTTTATTGTGCGGAGCCGTGAATAGGGATTTCATTGTCATGACACTCCTTGCTCAGTGTGTTCATGCTTTGGTGTGCTCTGGGCTTGGTGAAGTCTTTTTTCAGCTTGGTCTACTGATGCATGGTCTTCGATGAGATCTTGCTGCTCGTAATTTTTTTTATTATTTTTTTTGGTGTGTATTCTCATAAGCTCTGATTCTTTGCACCTGGTCTTCTTTATGCTAGCCTAAGGATGAAGTCCATCCCGTCCTATCTCCCCTCATCCTTGAAGTTCATTATTTGTTGAATAGTTCTCTCTCTGCAAGTCACTGCACATGGTCTGTTCTCTTTTTCTTCTCCTTCCTTTGTTCTCTTTCTGTGCTTTTCCCTCTTTCTCTGTCCTTGCCTCTTTTGAAGTCTTTTCCCTTTCCTTCGTGGCTTTTTCCTTTTTTTTTCCGCGCACCCTCCCCCCCCCCTCGGACACTGCGCCCCGACATCATGGTCAGCAGAGACTCAGCACCCTTTCCTTCTTAAGCAGTGAGTCTGAGAGTTTCTTTTTTTTTTTTTTTTAATTAAACTTATTAAAGTGTGATCGCCTTGAGATATCATAATTGAACTGACCGGCCCCAGGTGATTCAGAAGTATTTTCTTCCCCACGAATAAGAATGGATTCAATGGAGCCAGTGTTGTTGTTGTTGTTGTTGTTGTTGGTTTTTTTTTTTTTTTTTTTTTTTTTTTTTTTTTTTTTTTTTTTTTTGTATATTTTCTTCAGGTCATGTGATTGTATCGGGATTCGAACTCTGGTCTGAGTGAGCTATAAGCCCGTTGGTGAGGGTTTTATTTACTATTTAGCGTGACCATGCCTGTCTCGGACAATTCGACAATGTCCATCGTCTTTGACATGCTGCTTCTGGCTGAAGCACATCTTCTCATCCAGGCTTGAAGTGTGCCTTAATAAGTCCATACGTGCGCACAGCTAAAGCCAGATGCATTCCAGGGCGTACAAGTGTGAGTATGCCTTAATAAGATCTTGTGCTGCCTATCATTGACTTATAGCTCTCTTTTTTTTTAGTTTGGTTTTCTGTCTGAGTGGACGAGGAAGAAGGGAGATGCTGGATTGCGTACGCGCACTCCAGTCTTATTTTGTAGTAGTAGCATGTTACGTCTCCACGAGAGTAAAGCCTCACATTTGTTTTACATCATATGATTGTGTTTTCTGTATTGGGGTTTGTCATGGCAGGATGGGATCATTGTGGAGAAAGGCGATGCTAGTGCAATCCTGAACGTGCACTCGGATCTCTGCTTTGCGGCTCTTGAGGTATGTCTGCACTGAGTGAACTCTTCTTTTCTCTGTTATTTTTTTTTTTTTTTTTTTTTTTTTGGGATTCACGCATGTCGTCCTTATGAAGGGCCCCCTGCGGGCCTCCTCTCCAGTTCATTAAGGGGGGGAGAGGTTCAAAACGCAGTGACTGTCTTCTTGAGGACTGGTCTCCATTTGTGCCCTGCTTTACCAACCCCATCACTTTCAAATCCATCAACTCCATCGATTTCAACTCTGTCAATGGTGCTCCGTCAACTTCAACGTGCCGATTTGAATTTCGTCAATGGTGCTAGGCTGCTAGCAGCCCATCACTTTCCACTCTATCAATTTCCATTTCAATTTCAAACTCATTTTTGAGTCCATCATTGATTTCGACTCTCCGTCAGTGGATGCCAACTGGATGGAACTCATAAATTAATGTATAAATTAATGTACAAATTAAATTTAATTAATGTATAAATGAATGTATAAATGAATGTATAAATTAATGTATAAAATTACTATAAATTAATTTTACCGCCGTCGGGGGTCTGAAGTTTGTACCTGAAATAGTTTTAGCTCATATGTTTTCGTCATAATTCCTCTTTTTTTTTTTACGGGAAAAGAAAAGTTGAAGTCTCTTTTTCTTTCACCTGAGGAGCAGAGGAGCTGAACGGCAAGGCAGGTGTCAATGTCCAGTTGAGGAAAAAAAAAAAAAGAAAGAAAAAGAGAGAAGAAACTACACACTGTTTTCCCCCCTCCTCGATATGGCCGTCTGTGCTAAATTACCTGCTTGTGCTTATTTCAATGTGTCCTCTTTTTTTTTTTTTTTTCCTTATCTTAATTGTGTCCTCGTGTAACTGTGTCTGTATCTGATAATTTTTTTGTCTCTTTGCTTCTTTTTTTGCAGGAAAGGTGAGGAGGAGAAGAGGCACGAGCAATGGCGGGGGGGATGGCGACGGCGCGGATTGCGCCTGCCATTGGGATTGACCTGGGCACTTCCAACTGCGTTGTGGGGGTGTGGAGAAACGGGCAGGTGGAGATTATACCTAATTCAAATGGGGATAGGTTGACTCCTTCAGTTGTTGCGTTTTCGGATAGCGAAGAAGGCGGTCGATATATCGGACAGGCGGCGAAGAATCAAGCAGCGAGAAATTGCAAGAACACGGTTTTTGAGGCGAAGAGGCTGATCGGACGGAAGTTTGATGACAAGACCGTCCAAAATGACATACGATTATGGCCTTTCCCGATTGTGAAAGGGCCACATGGAGAGGCGAGGGTTCAGATCCGAAGCCGATCCTTGGAGAAAGATTTCACGCCGGAAGAGATCTCGGCCATGTTGTTGGGCGAGTTGAAGCGGCAAGCGGAAGCCTTCTTGGACGCGGAGGTCAACGAAGCTGTCATAACTGTGCCGGCGTACTTCAACGATGCGCAGAGACAAGCCACGAAGGATGCCGGGGAAATCGCTGGGCTCAAGGTGCTGGGCATCGCTAATGAGCCTACGGCGGCTGCTTTGGGGTACACCGTTCATCGCGAGCGATTGATTGCCTTCGACAGAGAGAGGACGAAGACGGTGATGGTGTTCGATCTCGGCGGCGGGACGCTCGACGTCGCGATCATGGAGGTCGGTCGCGGAAAGTCAAAGGTGATAGCTTTGACGGGCGACAGCCACTTGGGCGGGGTGGACTTCGATATTCGGCTGCAGGAGCACGTTCTAAGGCTGGTGCCAGGAGTGGCAGGAGAGGGGACGGTCGCTCAGAGGAGGCTGACAAAATTGAGGGAGAAGTGTGCGACCGCCAAACACACGCTCTCAACACAGCACTCTGCTGAAATTGAAGTGCCGCCGAACAATGATGTGACTGTAACGAGGGCACTTTTCGAGAACATCTGTAGCGATTTGTTCGCGAGGTGTATGACTCTGGTCAAGGAAGCGATCGAGCTGTCAAAGCTGGGTCGAGAACAGATTTCCTGCGTAATTTTGGTTGGCGGGTCCACGAGAATGCCGAAGATATCGGACATGCTGACCGACTTTTTTGGCGGGAGAAGGCCGTTGTCATCCATTCATGCAGACGAGGCGGTTGCGTACGGTGCAGCAGTGCAGGCGGCCATTATGACAAAGCGGTGTATTGACTCCGATCTTCAAGACCTGGTCCTCCAGGAAGTCACGCCTTTGACCTTAGGTGTGAACACGTGGACAGGAGGAGGACCCGAAACGTGGAAAATGTCCGTCCTTATTCCGAAGAACACCCCCATCCCTGCGACCGGGGAAGACATCCGGGTTACCATTCGCGATAACCAGACGGCAATGGCGTTTACCGTCTATGAAGGCGAGAGTCCTCTTTGCAAGGATAATCATATTCTCGGCGAGTTCACTCTGGACAGATTCGAACCCGCACCCAAAGGACAGGCCAAAGCTCGTCTCGTTTACTCCATAGATTCTGACGGTATTCTCCACGCAACCGCGACGAACACTGTGTCGGGACGAACCAGCTCCGCCAACTTCACAATGGACAAGGGTAGATTGACACGTGGCGAGATCGAGCAGATGATTACTTTTGAGCGCAAGTTTGTGGCCGACGACCGAGCTGCCCTTGAGAAGGAGGCGGCCAAGCACCGCCTGCAGCAGTATCTTACTGAAGTCAAGGCAAAGATGGGGAGCACGGCGCACCGCCTGCTCCCCAACGATAGCAGTGTGATTCGTCGAAAACTGTCGGATGTTGAAGGATGGCTATCGGGGTCGAGTAGCGGGCGGGCATCGGCGAACGACTTTGAAAACAAAAAACGCGACCTTGAAGCGGCGTGCGAAGCTTTTGAAACGCTGGATCTTCAGGATAGGTATGTTCTTAGATGCTAAGAAGAAGATTGGGGGGGGGGGGGGGGGGGGGGGGGGGAACGGATGAGGGACATCATGATTTGAGAAGAGAGATTCTGACGCAGAATGCTGATGACTGCACGATGTGCGATGTGCGATGTGACACGCAAAGATGTACGGTATTCTCTGAAATAGTAAATCCTAATAGTAATTAAATAAAATAATGAATCTTTAGAAAATTTTGATGCAAGACACTGAGACAGTTACGACGCTTAATCATTTTTTTATTTTTTTCCCCCCCGTTGTTGTCCTTTTTTTTGGCAGCTCTTCTCTCAAATCATTTCGACACCTTCCCTCCATGGGAACCAAAAAAAAAAAAAAAAAAAAAAAAAAAANNAAAAAAAAAAAAAAAAAAAAGAGAGAGAGAGAAAAAAAAGAATTGCATTACCAGAAGGTGGTGTGGACAAATTCGGACTTTCCATGATGCACCTGACTGCTATCAAGGCCGGATTCAATGGACAAAACTCCTACTGTGAGTATATCCTCGATCATGGTTCTTAATATGTAACCGTTGGCAAAAGGCTGTGGTGCTATCTTATTAGGTACAATAATATGAGAGGCTTTTTTTTTTTTTTTTTTCGTTTTTGTTTCGTGAAACCACCACTAGTACATTTCAGGTTGATAGCCCCAACTGAACAGCGATTTCGTCAGAACGGACATTTTAATAAATATTTTTTGAACGAAATTGAAACCTTTTTAATATTTGGCCCAAAAAATATCACTGTTAAATTATCTCATGAGAGTTCATTTGGACTCAACTGAAGTTCAGGTACATCCACAGGTACATCCAAGGGGGGCCCTAAGAAGCTAAAATGGTGACATTTCCAGAATTAAATACCTGGGTTTCAATTTCGTTCAAAAAATATAAAATATTAAAATGTCCGTTTTGACGAAATCGTTGTTATTGGGAATACATCCGGTACCACATTCTTCCCAAGCCGGCCTGCCGTTGGGCCGCCGGTGATAAATTTCATCAGCCGCCTTTGTTCCGTTTCTAGCCTAACTCGTGCCGCACTGGCGAGGGCTTGCGACCGATCTATAGGAAAGCCCTGGGCCTGGAGATCGGTTGCAGGCCCTCCTGCCAGTGGTGGTTTCAATTTTCAAAAATCTTCACAAAAGTGAGAAGAACATTAACAAATGGGAGGTGAGTTTGGCGGCGACTCGCCGCCGTGCCGTGGGCCTCGAGGGCGATCCAGACGTGACAATGGCCCTAAACCGCAAGCAAACGCCTTGAAGTTTGCGACCAATCTATTCTTGTTGGCAAGGACGGCGGAGGGCAATCCTATGGACTGTCTGCTGGAACTGGTGTGTACACACGAGATCATGAAGGATGTACAGCCTGAGGATGTCCAGCCGGAGATAGAACGGAAGGAGGATACAGAACATATTATAAAGCAGCAAGTACATGGAGCGTCCGACAAGATGGACAGATTCTGAAATGGACGCCAACCGGGATCGGATTCACGCAATCAGCGTCGTAACCTAGCTGATATCCGTTGGCACATTTCCGAGTGTCTTCATTGTCTTGTCAAACTGGCTGGAAGGGGAACGGGGTGGCTGGATGGCTACCGTCTCCTTGGAGGGGGAAGGGGGAGGGGGAGGGGGACCTGGGAGAGGGAGAACAGAGAACAAGCATTTAGATAAAATTATTGACTTTTGCTTTTCAATTCTCACGAAATTGGCTGTCTGGAAGGAAAGAAAAATTGTAACTGCCGGATTCTACCGGATTGGCTCTCTTGGCTAGACGTCTGGGCCGTTATCTACCGGATTCGGTGCATTCAGACCAAGCGGCCTTCATTCAGGGCCGGTCTATTTTTGACAATATTGTCACTGCTATTGAAAGCTTGGAGGTCATTCAGAACGGACAGTTGGATATCGCGGTTCTGTTATTGGATCTGGAAAAGGCTTACGACCGTGTTAATTGGTCATATGTCTTGACTACGTTGAATGTTACGACTTTTGGACAGAACTTCTGCAAATGGGTCGTAGCCCTTTATACCGCCTCCACTGCCGCAGTAATGATTAATGGTCGTCTTTCGGAGGAATTTTCGCTAACTCGCTCGCTACGTCAGGGCTGCCCCCTCGCTCCCCTTTTCTTTGCTATTCAGATGGAAAATGTGCTCAATAACATTCGGGCAGACCCTTCTATCAGAGGCATACCAACAGACACCACTCAACTGAAGGTAAAGGCACTGGCCGATGATTTATTCGCCATCTCGCAGAATACGCCTCAGTCTCTAAATGCGTTGAAGCTCTGCCTGGATGAGTACTCGTCCCTTTCGGAAGCAGCGATTAATTGGCATAAATCCGTCTTTCTTCTTCCCGCTTGTTTCTCATTGGCCGTTCAATGGGGAATGAAACGCATAAACGAGGACTTTTCTGAGCGTTTCTTGGGGGTTCAAATTGCTCTGGTATCAGCGGCAGCGGATCAAGAGGATATCCTTCTTCAAAAATCTGTTCAGCGTCTTTCCTCCTGGGGTCATGCCCCTCATCTGTCGCTGTTTGGGAGGGCTATGGTGATCAACAGTGCTCTCCTTGCCCTCTTATGGTATGTAGGAAACGTTTGTGGCTTTGGTCGGGTCCTCTGCTCTACGGTGCGTTTTAGATGTGCTCGATTCATATGGAAGCCATACGCAGAGGAAGGGGAGTCCTTTATTTCGAAAGTGGCATGGGAGTTGATCTGCAGTTCTAGGCAGGAGGGAGGCTTGGGTCTATTGGACCCTCAGAGACAGAATGAGTCCATGCTATCGGCATGGGTTATCAAAGCCAAACTCTCCCAATCTTCCCAGCACTGGATAAGTTTAGCAGAACAAATCTTGGCGCAAGAATGGAATCTTGCTAGGCCTAGGGATGTTTGGTTGTGTCTTATGCTCAGGTCCTTTCTAAATAGGAGGATCAATTCCCCGTTTTTGCAGGCAATTGTTAGGGCCTGGAAGAAAGTCCTCCCAAATAGGTGGAAAGAGCCAGTAACCAAGTCTGAAGTGCTATTGCAGCCACTATTTGAGAACCCGAGAATATCCATCCCTAATGGCAGACTGTTTGTTGCTGATTCCTCTCTGGGTAGCTTCGGCCGTTCATGGATCGAAAGAGGTGTGCTGAGAATTGAAGATATTTGGGATGACTGCACCGGTAACTGGAAACAAGAGGGGGCTCTTAGAACAGTTCTGGGTCAGGTCAGACACCTGACACTGAAGAAAGAAGCAATTATAGCCTCTATTCCCCAGGAATTGAAAGATCTTCTCTTTTCTGTATCGCTCGATCCGCCTAGCACTTGGTACACATCAGAATCGACCTCATCCTCTGTCTGGCGCCTCATTGATCATGGCCCAGATGGTAAACGGACATTTCAGGCTTACTCGACTCTCCCCTCTCCAGTGTTGATTAAGGAGGATGACAATCCTCAGCCCCAACTGGGCATCCCCCTCCATCAGGTACGAGTTCTGCTGACAGCGGTGGGGGAGGCGGAACCTGAATATAAGATCTTTGGTTCAGATCAATCTATTCTTCAGTTGAAGCTGGATCCTTATCTTTGGGAATGGATGGTATCTGGGCATGCAGGGCTGCACCCCATCCTTTCCGAATACTCGCTGAAGATAGGTTACTCTCTACTGAAACCGTTGAGATGTCCTTTGGTTACGGCCAGGACCCGTTGGATGCAGGTGTTGGAATTGGATCATGAGACAGATCTTATTCGTTTGGACTCTGCTCTGTGTTCATGTTGGGAACAGCTTAAACTTATTCCGTGTCAACGACAGGCTTCTCTGCTATGGCCAGTGTCCATGGTTGCAACGCCTTCGGGTCTCACAGTGGATCTGGAATGTAGCAGATGCAATTGGGCTTTTGAGTCTACTATTCACTTGTGGTGGGACTGCCCGGCTTCCGCAAAAATTTGGGAATGGTGGGCCGCCCACTGGAACCGTGTTTCAGGCTCTGTCTTTACATGGAATAAGGAATGGGCTTTGTTGGGAGGAATTCCAGAGAACTGTGATAAGGATTCAGGCGGGGGCTACGTAGCACAGGTGTTTCGGGCCACTATCTTCTCAGTAATCTGGGCCTGCAGAAATGATCGGGTGTTTAAGAATGGACAAATAAACAGATTAGATGCTCGGCCTCCCAGTCAATGCGTCGGTCCATTCAAGCCGACTGGAGAAGAAGAGTGTCTAATTCCAAATCCTCAGTCCAAGGCCTCCAATGGTTTAAGTCTACGTGGTGTCTGGGTAATTCATTGGCAGCTGTTGAAGGCGAGTGCAGACTACAGCTTGATCCTTGGTTATTGCTTTGAGTTCTGTGGTTCTTGTGGTTTTGTGGTTTGTGATTCTTTTATGTTGTGGTTTTCTTTTTCATAGGTATTTGTTGCAACCTGGATGGCTCGGTCGTTAAATTAGCCACAGGAGGCCGGCAGAAGGACTGGAGAGGAGTGGAGGGAGCGGCACGCCACGTAGTTGAATGGGTCTTGTTTAGTCCCTAGCCACCGATTTAGGTGGTCATGAGTGCTTAGAAAATGGTATTGTAGAGTTTAGGTAGAGGGTTGTGGTAGCGTCTTCCTTTGGTCTTTTTGGATTGTGTGGCTTTTAAGGCCTTGTGGCGTCATTTTGGTTACAGGGGTGGGTCCTCTCTGTCAGGGCAGCGGTCTTGCTTTGGCCATTTCTGTCGCTGGACACTCTCTGGCCCACCACCTGCTGCCAAGCTGGGTATGGGTCCCAGTATTTTGTCCCGGGTTGCTTTTGTGGAGGGATTCCCGGCCCCCCTTTTTCATAATAAAGTCATTTCTTTTGGGTAAAAAAAAAAAAAAAAAATTGTAATTTTGAGCATTTTTTCTGTCCCCATGGCGTCAGACCTCTGACCATCTGATGTCTCACTCAGTGTAAACTACAGTCAATCTTTTTTTTTTTTTTTTTTTTTTTTATAAGGAATGAACTACCGTCAAAATAGATCCGAGGATTCCCGAAAAAAAAATAAAAAAAAATCCGAGGATCCAAAAAAGATGTAAATAATTTTTTAATATTTTTTTAAAGGAATAAAGTACCGTCAAAATAGCTCTGAGGATCCAAAATAGATGTAAAGAAATCGAGGTAAGCTCAGATGATCGGACGTGGTGGGGACAAAAACAGTTTCTAACTTTCTAAAAAGTACTTTTTTTTTTTCGGACACCC